ATGCTATTTAACACAGAAATGTTTGTTGGTGACAGGGACAGTGGGATCAAGCATACTGTCAGCGAGTTCCCTGATGACACCAGGCTGTGTGCAGCAGGTGACATGCTGGGAGGAAGGGATACCATCCAGAGTGACCTTGGCAGATTGGAGAGGTGGGACTGTGTGAATATTATGAAGTCCAACAAGAGCAAATGAAAGGTCTTAAATGTGGGTCAGGGCAATCCCAAGCACAAATACAGTCTGGATGAAGAACATCCCTGAGGAGAAGGACTTGGAAATGCTGGTGGATGAGGAGTTGGACATGAGCCAGATGTGCACTCTCAGTCCAGAAAGCCAAACCTGTCCTGAGCTATGTCAAAAGCAGAAGGGTGGGCAGGAGATGATTCTCCCCCTCTATTCAACTCTTCACCTGGAGCACTAGATCAAGTTCTGGGGATTCCAGCATGAGAAGGATGTTGATCTGCTAGAGAGAGTCCAGAGAACAATCCCAAAAGATGATCAGACGGATGAAGACAGGTTGAGAGAGTTTGGGCTGTTCAGTGTAGAGAAGAGAAGGGCTCAGGGACACCTTATATGACCTACCCAGTACCCATAGAGGCCTGCAAAAAAGCTGGAGAGGCTTTTTGTGAAGACATTTAGTGATAGGACAAGGGATACTGGCTTTAAATTGAAGGATGTTAAATTTAGATTGGATGTAAGAAAGAAATTCTTTAGTGTAAGGGTAATGAGACAGACTTTAAATTTTCCCAGAGAATATGTCTGCTGTCATGCCCTGTCCTGGGAATGGTCAAGGCCCAATAGGCTGGGGCCTTTAGTGGAAGGTGTCCCTAGCCATAGCAAGGGGTTGGAAACAGGATGGTCTTTAACCCCCCTTTCATAACAGACTATTCTATAATACTATGATCATGTTGGTTCTTTTACTTTTTAGCAGCCAACAGGAAGAAAAGCACTTTCAGTCACATGCCAGTCTCTCTTTTCAGCTGGTGGTTTTCTAGCTCTTTTTGAAAGAAAATAGTTACAGTGTTGTGCTATTTTGTCCCACTGAACTGAGAGACTTTCAGTGACAAAGTTACAAGTTCTCAAGAACTCACTCTTTTAAGGATTGCACCACAATTCCATATTCCCCTTGAAAAGAGCAAATTCATTTCTGAAGAGGCCACACTAAAATCCTATTCATCCTAAAGGAAATAAATTGAAAATGCAGTGGAAAATAATGATTGAATTTTTCAAGTTCTAATAATTCAAAGAGTTAATAATTTATGATGTAGAAAATAAGTTTATAATACATACTTAGGAGTCAGAATCTGGAAAATATATTCTTTTAGCAGAGGAATAGTAAAAGACAAATAAAAGCTATGTCAGTTTTGCTAAATGAAAATCTAGAAAGAATTAACCTAAATATACAGCTGTCTCTCAATAGTTATTTCAGATGAAAGCATATGGATTTTTCTATTCTCTTAACATGCTTTGTGCATGCTAGGGGTTCTACATTCCCTGCCCAAAGCATGAGCTTTTAGGGAAGCATGAGTTTTGTACTGGTCCCATAATGATGAAGTTTCACCCAGAAAATTATCGGCTGCAAAAATAGGAAAATTTTAAGACAGGAAAAGACTTGTCTAGCTTAGAGACTAAAATTTATTCCTTAGTGTTTTCATTTTGAAAAATGTGTCTTGCACAATTTGGAAAAGCTCAAAGTATAAATTGCCACAAAACCTGAAAACTATTTCATTAGAACTGCTCTCAGAATTTCAGTTTAGATGGCCCGTGTTCCTATATAGGCCATCATATAGTCAGAGACTGTAGGTTTAAGGTCTCTAGAAAAAGCTGATGGATTCTAAATGTCACTAAACCTAGATAGCATATCAGTGATGCATGGGATTAATAACAACAGTGTAATTTTTCCAACAGGAAAATTTTCTTCTGGGGAAGTAGATTTCCTTTTTTAAGCTCAAAAAGAAGGATGTGGAGCTAAAATCTCCCATGTAACTAGATTCTTAATAAAAAAAACATTAGAACTACCTTTGATGGCTGTCAGAACATCATTCTCATCTGCACATTGCTGTAGTCAGCTTGGCTGTTCTTAACTGTAACTCAAAATTACTGTCTGGTAAGATTTTGATTCACGTGGATACTGTGAAGCTCAAGAGAGCAAAATACATGTACTGGTTATTCCAAGGAAATGAATTTTTCTGAGCTGGGAGCCCAGCAGTGGATTTTTGAAAGTACAACCTATGAAGACCAACATTTCTGTCACTTTGCTGCTGCTCCTACTTGTCTGCAAAACTCTGTTATAGCGAAGTCACCATCTTAATTCCTTGTCCCAGTGCAGACAAAAGTGATGGCAGAAGACATAACTGCTACATCAAAGGCAGGCATGCTCTGCCCATGTCAATGTACTCACTGAACCGAGCATTGCTCGTGCTCACTCCTTCAGCACCGCTCTCATTTTTTTTTTGAAAAATAACATATTGATTTTATTTTCTTCCAAGGAAAAAAAAAAAAAAAATCTGAGCGTGGTTACCAGAGAACAGGATGATAACTTTTCTACTTATTGAATGTAAAAATATTTTTTGCTCTTTCAAAAATAGTAGTATTCAGAAGTTGGCATACTTAAATTCACAATTGTGCATATTAGAGCATTTTTCAGGTGTTACTGTGTTTGAATGAATTTTTAGGCTCTCCTTTAAAAATTAATTTTGCCAAATATATGAAATTTATCTAAACTTTAAAAAAATTACATGTTTTTGTATTAATTAGAATTAACTGGCTATAAACTGGGTGAATGCACCCTCTACAAAGAGAAGGGTAACTTCTTTAGTAGTTTTTCTCCCAAGATGTGGATGAATCTGAAAAATACAGTCAAAGTGATCTAACAATAGGTGATATTTTACAGGGCTTATTTTCTTGACCATAAGCCAGTGCAATATATTCTGAGTATTTTGTAAAGAAGACATTTATTTTGAGCCAAAGAACCCATGTTGTTTGGCATCACAATGTTCACTTATATCTGGTTTGAAATTTTGACTGTTTACAGAGAAGATACAGTGTGAATTTTCAATGCATTAAATTAACTACATTGATTTATTTATCACTTTAACAAAAAACAAAAGATTAATTGGTTTTATGTACCATTGTATCATTTTTTGTCATTGCTGTTAAAAGTAGATAACCAGAGGCTAATAGACGTTAATGGTCTCCTTCATTACTAAAAAAATCAATGTTTCTTGGATATGGAATATATTATTGCATTATTTTGCTTAAAAGTGTTTCTTTACTGCATTCATCAGTTCTCTCTATTTTGAGATTTCTTGAAATCTTGAAATCTTTCTTGAAATTTCATACCAAATTTAATAAATATTTTCTGTGCAAATTAACTTTGTACTCCAAGAAAGGTGAAAACTGGATGTTACTACTTGTAAGAGAAACAGATAAAAACTATCTTGGGTTTGCTGGCATATTTTGTTTCTTCTTTTGTTTGTTTGTTTGTTGGTTTGGTTTTTGTTCGTTTTTGGGTTTTTTAAAAAAATATTATTTTATGTATATATGTGTATCTTTAAGGGCCACATCATCTAAATTACCTTTCCACAGCTTTTATATATTACTTTCAAACTTGTTGGAGAGTAGTTAGATTTTCAAATGCAAGTAATTAAAATTGTAAGCTATTGAGTTATTGATGAATACTGAGCTATTAATCAAGCTAAAAAATTCTACAATCAGGGTTCAGTGCTCTGAAGCACTGTAAAATAATAGTATTTGTGTTCAGTGATGCAAGTAGCCACAATTAAGCAGTTCACTTGACAAATGAGATAGTTCATTTTATTTTGCACTTAATTGAATTGTACATGCCTGGTCACCATTGTCTCTTTCCCTTTAGTTTTGGTTTCTAGCCATTTAAACACATACATTTATTAAAGAGAGAGCAATTAAGTTGTGTTGGCCATTGGCTCTGGAAACACAGACACCAAGAGTTAAAATGTTGTGTAGGGTAAAATTCATTATTATCCCTCCAGAAAAAAAAAAAAAATCTTAATTTTCTTAACAAAAAGTCTGATAAACATTTAGGACTCTGCTACTAAATTAAAACAAATGTGAAATGGAAAACAAACCCCTGTAGGTTGTTGATATTAAACCACTTTTACCAAACAGAAATATATAGACATGGTTTCTTGGCATATTATTTTAGTTAGCATTTCAGCAGACATTTCAGCCTTACATTGTTGTCTTGTATTCTTTTTTTTTCTGTGTTTGCAGTCTGCTTTTTATGATTCTGAATTTGTAACATATCAGTCAGTTTTATGTGTTTGTTTGTTATGTTTACTTTTAACAAGATGTGTTTTTGAAAACCTGAGTTCTGGGTTTCCTTTCAAGATCCCCCAAAAAGATCCATTTTCAATCTAGATGAGAGAAAAATGTTAATAAAATGCAAAGATTTTCAACTGAAAGCGGAAAACAGAAAGATAATTGTAATACTGTAATCACTTTTTCAAAGTCTCTTATTGAAATAGGTGATCTCTAAACGCCTCCAAAACAATATGAGGAGTTTAATTGTGAATATCTACAGAATACAACTAGGATATACACACAACCATCAGACATACATTTGTAAGTGAGACTGAAGCTGGCACCAACAGACAGAGGATTTTATGAGTCCCTCAGCCCCAGCGTGTGTGGATTTTTGTTTTTTGTTTTTTGACTAAGGAGCACTGTGTTGAGTTTGAGAGAATTAAGGCAGGCGTATGATGAGCAGTGCAGGCTCACTCGTTTTCTGAATGATGGTTTGCGGGCCCCATAGACTCTCTGTTAATTCCTGCCCAAGAATTCCACATTTGTTAGAGAAGCTGTGAAGTTTTGGGTATGTGTTTCCCAGGAAAGACCCAGAGAAGCGCACCCACAGTTCTCTTTGAAAATTACTGGCAAGATGAGGAGCTCCCTTCCGTGTGGTTTGCTGCTCATGCCGGCAGAAAGCGCTGATGGAGTGCTGTTTCTCCTTCCCACTGCAGGCCCTACCAGTGCGGTCACTGCTCCCAGTCCTTCTCCCAGCCCTCGGAGCTGAGGAACCACGTCGTCACACACTCCAGCGACAGGCCTTTCAAGTGTGGCTACTGCGGGCGCGCCTTTGCTGGGGCCACCACACTCAACAATCACATCCGGACACACACTGGGGAAAAGCCCTTCAAGTAAGTACTCGAAGCTAGCAGCTTTTGCCAGCTGAGATTAGAGAGGGAAATGCATTGCTGCTGCTCACCAGCGTCAACAGCACTCGGCAGAGGTTCCCTTGAAAGACAAGGTCAGACCACGAGATAAAACAGATAGCGGTGCTGTTAAAATCGAAATTTGTACAGGTTTGATTTGGGGTTCTTGAAAGCCTTGCATAATTTTCTGTTCTCTAATGATACCTCAATTGTTTAATTAAGTGGCAAGCTGCTGCTGGAGAACCACAGCTGAAAATGTGATCAAGACTGAGACAGGCTGTGCTGTAAGAACATGAATATGATTATTTGGTATCTATATGCTGAGGTAGATGGAGCTTCACTTAAAAGCTAATTTGGGTCTAGTTATATATGGGGGGAAAATAAGCACCTTCTTTTAGTCTCAGAATCACTGGATAGAAAATGTAACTCTGATTTGTGGCATAAGTTTTGAAAGATCGTAGTAATAAATTGATAGTGCTCAGCTGGCCAAGATACAAGAAAAATAATGTCACCTAATAAAAAAGATTTTACACTAAACAGACTTTGTTAATTTCTGAAATTTTTAATTACTGTTATTAAATCTAAGTACATACCTGCCTCAGAAATCTTCCAGCAGTGCTCATTTCCAGTCATAGTACCACTGATCGAGGTATATTTGACTTTCTGTCATGTAGGACTCTGCCTACATTACAGGAAGTGTTCTCCAAAGCAGAGGAGATATATCCCATACTTGTGTCTTTGTCTTGGCTGAACTGACAGACACTCAGAATATATATATGTGGTCACTGGAGCAATTCCACCTAATGTATTGATACCACTTCTTTTGGAAGCCTCCTGCATGTTCCTGGGAGGAAGGGGAATAAGTGTAGAAGCAGGTTTGTGTCTCTCCCAGTTCTCTGAGTACTGTCTGTTCTCTGTCTACTTTTCTCTCTTTGTCTTTTTTTTTTTTTTTTCTACTTTTGCCAAACTGTGCTTTTGATCTGGTTATTGTTAGAGAGCTCAGCCATGGGGCCTGTCAGAGCCCCTCATAACAAGCCCGACAGAGATACTGGTGAGCATGCTTTGCCTCCATATAAGGTTGGAAGGAAGCACGGCCTCCATACATGTCTTTGCCAGGGGCAAGGGGACAGAGCCAGGAACAAAATGCTGCATATCCAGTACAGAAGAACTTGCATAGCAGAAATCATGGCTAGGATAGTGTTGTAGGAGGCAAAACATGGAAACTCAGAACATCTGAATATCGACTTCTCTTGAGCCAGTCTGTTGAATGCTCAGAGCCTACAGAAAGTGAGCCAAAAATGGTGTGAGCAATCAGATTGATTTTATCTAGTTGCTGTGTAAATAGATTTTAGTAATTAATGGAAGAGGCTTCCAGGTCAAAATGGAAAATAGATTTCGTTTAATGTTAAGGTGTTACTTATGTGTAACCTTGTTGACTCCACTTAATTTTTTTCCTTAACATCCTGTTTTTGTCATGTTTCCAATAGGTCTGCTATTTTGCCCCATTTAGAGTCATTATTTTTCCCTTTCGGTTTACTAATTTTTTTACCCTTTCCCAAAACGGGCTTGATTAAAGCACAATTTCATTTGTGAAAGAGCTTAATACAACTAACCAGAGGTCTGGGATTTGTTTGTTTGGTTGTTTTTTTTTTTTGTTTTGCCCTACTCATGTGGAAGTGTTTAAGTATTATTCCAGGACATATCTGACTATTCCTTAAGTTGCAGGACAGAGCAACAACAACAACAACAAAAAGTCTATGTTTTGTATTGGTTCTTTATGATGTATGGCATAATTTCAATTGTGCAAGACGTTTCTTTTGTGTCTTCCTTAAGCACAAAAAACAGTAGCACCATTTCTCTCTGGATAGCTTGTTGAAGAATTTGCAGTAAGCTGACTAGTAACTTCACGTGGTGCTAAAACTGGAGCTGCAGATCTTCCCATCCCTGCTAGTCAGATAAGAGGGCACACAAGCCTTGATCCTGCAAGCTGTTCAAAAGGGCAGATTTGTCTCTCATGCAGGACTGCTTGCATTTGAGAGAGCAGGGGTGGAAAACTTATCCAGAAATCAATCTATTATCTCTGCTGGAGGAAAAAGAGAGAGTTGCAGCTCATCTTGATGTCTCATCACTGTTTAGTTCCTCCTTTGGAAAAGGGATGCACAAGATCTGGTATTAAGAAATTTTGTAAAAAGCCCTCCAACAAATTCTATTAAGCAAGAACCATAAATAGAACAAACAAAATTTCTATCTCTTGGTCATGCAATTTAGGTTTAAAATGTTTTTTTATAAGGGATTTTGAGTATATAGTTACAAAGGAAAAAAATACAAGATGGAAAAGCCCGCTGAGATTGTGTTTCTGTACCTCAGAGAAGTTTGTATTTGTGGTGAAGTACACATTTCTTTTAACTAGTATTTTTCCTAGTATTTTATTCAGAAAGAATTGCCATGCATGGATAGAGATAACTTACTTAAATTCTAGCTAAGTTATTTTAAGAATAACAGGTATAATTTTGAAGGTGATACTAAGTTCAATTTTAAATGTGCTTCTGCTGTGAATGCAATCTCATGATTTCAGTAAGGCAGCTATCTTATACTAAGTATGTTTACATGCATATTATTTCTAGAAGTTGGTTTTAAAAATGGTGAGCATATGATGACAGTATGTTAAAAAATATTTCAGATGAATTGTTTTGTAAGAGGGCGTTTGGGATTGGTTAGAAACCTTTTCTGCAAGAGGGCATTTTCTTTGTAGGTCCTAGGTAGCTTTGGATGCATGGTGGAAGACTTTTCTATTTGCTTTTCATTAAGATAACAATGCTAAGTGAGGTTATCTGTAGGCAAAGCTTTAGCTGAATTTGACTTTTCATGTCATCACAAGCTATCAAGCCAGCCTCACCACTGTAAAGTTTTTGTGTATTCTTATCTTACTGAAGTCTCCACTATGGCTGCTAGTCTGGGAACAAAGCTCTTAAGTAAATTAAAATGCAGGAGAAAAAGGAAAATTATTTGTCACCTCCATTCTCTTAATTTTTTCTCACCCCCTCCCTGTTTCCATTTCAGCAGAATTAAAAAATTGTGAGGGGAGTTGCCTGCAGAATCAGGGTTAAGGAAAGATCTAATATTTAGGAATCAAAGATTCTTTCAGCCTGCAATAACTCACATTTTTTACATTATTTCCTACTGAAATGCAAAGCTGGGTAGCATTAATTTTAGGCTGAATATGTGTGTTGTACCTGCAGTGACATCTCAGTGTGGTTAAGAGGGATCATTTTTGGTTGATAATTTTTCTTGGATTTTTGATACCCTTCAAAAGGAGTTTAAAATGTAGTGTTAAATATACTTGTTGAATGAAATCTTAAAATGTTTGAGAGTTTTAATCTGATATCAGAGTAATACTTTGTAATTAAAGAGATTTTAGAGAAAATACTTTTTCTCTAAAGTAGACCCTCAGCACTTTCTCCATCTGAAGCCTTTCACAGAGGTTGACATAAGTGTGCAAATTAAACCAATCCTCTCTATAATCCTCACTCTCGATGTTTTGAAAGCGTTGTGAGGCAAACAAACAGACCAGTAGAAATGAGGGCTATCTAAACAAAATCAGAAACCCCAGTACTGTAGACATATCCCAACAATATTGGTGCACCTTGTGAACTTAAGAACAATTCTGTTTTCCTCCTCCACCCAAGCAAATCATACCAGGAAACCAGAGATTGAATGCTATAGTGTATTGCTCCTTACAATTAGAGTGTACGCATTGTGTACGTTGTATACTGTGTACACATTGTGAAAGAAGATAACATGGATCCAATTTTCACTGATGGTATCTAATTGTTTGAGGATTTTGGCAGTGCTTTGGACCTATATGCGTCTGGGGCTGTTTAAATTCCATTCAAATGCCATCAGACGGCCCTAAGTGGAAATTAATGTCATATCAGTTAATAAGTGTCATTATTGCCAGTATCTACAGTGCAGGCTTAGCCAAAATTTGGTATGTCTAACATTCAGGCTTGGGCTCAGCCCTATGGTTGCTCAGTGTGTGGTCACATAAGGTAGGAGCTCTTTTTCCTTTCTGATGATTTTGACTACTCTTCAACTTTCCAACACAACATTAAACACATATGGGTTATGGTACAGGAATATGCACACAAAAACATACACATGCTCACCAATCTTATGGACAATCTCATGGAGCACTTATGGGAGCAGTTTTTCTGCTGTGATGGGCTGGGAAAGAATGGTTAGTAGAGGGAGAGACTGCATAAAAGTACATCACAATCCAGAAGAAAAATATTCCTGCCCTTCCTCCCATTCCTACCTACTGTGAGACAGTAATGCTGACTGCTGTGACACTATTATCTTCACCTTTTCTATCAGTTTGTATCCAGCAACAACTTCTCTGGACCACATTGAAAAGAGGAATCAGGAGCCTAATACAGATCTCTGCCCATAAGCCAGGTACTTATATATCCAAAACTATGGTCCTGAAAGCACCACCCACATCATTTGGAAGTGCCTAGAAAATCCTAGGCACCTTGGATACTATCTGAAGGTTATCCAGGTACAAGAGAAAGACAGGGGAACCAAGTGCCTTGCCAGAGGTTTATTCTGACTTTTGCCCAAAGGCTGTGAAAGTGCAGGCATCACAGTTTGACCAGCAACAATGCTTGGCAGCAACGCAGCCTTCCTGTTCATAAAGGGTATATGCTTGTATAGAGAGATTTGTCCTTTTTCTCTTCTCTCTTTAGCACCCTTCTTTCCTGTGCCTTTATGTTAGTGTATCAGCCTGTAGCTGGGAAGGTAGAGCCCTTCCACAACAGAAGGCTCTTGTGGATAAAGGATGGGAAGTTGTATTTTAAAGAAATATGATAAACCTTGCTCTACA